CTTTCTGCTTGTCTGTATTTCCTTTCTCTGTTATTTCTGTACTAGCTTCTTAGAAATAGTGAAGTTCTCAACATTGTACTTGAATCCTTGTCTTGCTTTTTACTTTCAATGATATTACCATATGTCAAGTAGATTGATTATGAAAAATATACTTTTCTCGTATATACTTGAATCACACATCAATACTACTTGTTTCTAGACTGAGAAAACTTCTTGATTCAGTCAAGATTCTATACTTCTTAAACTTTACTCAGTTGTGGTCTTGAAACTTTGCCTTGCGGCATTCTAATACCACTAACCATATAACTTAAACAGTATAACCATTAATAAATAGCTACTTTAAAGAAATTGATAATTTTCCGAAAACACCTAGCTTGTGCTAGAGTTCCGGTTAATCTTAAATCTCTTTCTTGTTTCTTCTCGCCATTTCTCACTTATGGCTTTAAACTCATCATTTATTATTGGAAATAAATACTTGATCCCAATATATGAAAACTTCTCAGTCTTTGCTTTATTAAAAAGACTGTCTTTAACTTTCACATATCCAGATTATTCTTGCTTAACTTCAAAAATTCTTTCTAGAATTTTACATAATCATTTCGTATCTGGAATGTGATACTGATATCTTTTAAGATTCAATTTCAGGTCTCCAGGTAATTCGGACTTAATAACCCTTATTTCAGGTTTCCATAATTTACCTGGCTATGTGACTATTATATGTCGATACCTTAAACTTATTCTCATTGATTTCTGAAAATATTTTGTATATTTGTACTGCCACTAACAAGTACCAATACAAAATAACTTATAACCTGATCTTAAACTTTGCCACTTTTTAACTTATGATATCTAACTGATAAGATATCAAAACTTCTGATTTATAAAGATTGACTATTTTCTTTAACTTTATTTCTACGGTTCAGTTTCAAGCCTCCAGGATCTATCCGGCTTTTGGTTCTTATTTCAAACCCCCATGATTTACCCGGACTTATGGCTATTATATACTGAAATACCGTTACTTCTTATACTTGGCTCATAATCAACTTTTATAGTCAATCTTAACTTAAATCTTAATCTGATGGCTTAACTTAGAATGTTCGAGTTTCTTTCTTGATCTAGTTAACTTGATAAACTAAATTTCAAACTTTAATAATTGAACATATAGACTGATTTCTAGAGTTCGTATATCTGAATTCTTATTGAGCAGACTTAGTAATTTGCATATATTTAAACTTCATAAAAACTTGTAGCAACACTTACCTGGTAGCCGGCGAGGTGTGAGCATGGTGTGGTCGGTTTTCCTGAAACTTTCTTTTCAAAACATAAACTTTTAGTATACAGAGCCCTTAAACTTTGGCTCTGATACCACCTGTAACACCCCGCTCATCAGAGTAAATTTTTCGCAACTTTTACTTCGAAAATACTTAGAACTCTTTCGAAATCTTTTGCGACTAACTCAGGATGCTACTCAAACTCATCTTTTCTGGAAATCCGTTTATCTTTAAACTTTGTCTAATACTTCTTTATACATAAAGAAAACAGATTTAATTAAACTTGCATTTAACTATATCATATTCATACTTCTGAAATGATAAAAACTTGAAATCTGAAATTTATTAGAATGCAAGTTCAAGTCTCAATATGCGTAGCGGCAATACTTAAAAACGTGAATAATTATACAGACATATCAAGTTCATAATAAATGTCCACTTAAAGAAGTGCACGACCACCACCACCACTTTTTGAGCTCACACCTCTAGCCCGACCCTGTTACCTGAAAAACACAATGGGGGTGAGTACTGATCCTCTTGTACCCCGAAATCACCCATACTAAAGTAAACAGCAATAATAATACAATATCATGATCTTTGCTATATATCTTGACTGGAAATCTGTTCCAGTAACTTAAACTGAATCTGGCCGATATCTAATCGGGTACTTGTGCACAATCTGATGGATATTTCTCAAGGCAACTCAAACGGCCTCCATCAGAACTTAGGATATATTCTGAGACAACTGAATGCCTTCTCATCCCAAGCGTATAAACTTAAACTGTATACATACCTCAAACATGATATCAATATTATACTCAATGTAATACCCAGTCTGGGTCCCCACCTTTCTTCTCGAAAAGTATTGAAAAATGAAAGTGTTGTTCTTGTTAGCCGAACTTCTCACGCTACATAAAAATATAAACAAATATACTAAGTACTATGCTCGAATACTCAATAAGATATTGATATTCATAACTTTAACTGATAACTTTTAACTTATCCGTATCTAGCAAATATGCTATAGCTCAAATAATCATAATACTTCTAATAACTCAAACTCTTGATGAATCATCATTTGATGCCAAAACTTTATATAGATCATGCTTTCAAAATAATAGCTTATAAACTTGCAAGTGAAAATATCTAACACATGCTCTTCAAAATACACATTAATTATTATAATGAGAAATTTCATACTAAAATCATATTAACATGCTTTATCTATAATTGTAGTAATTACTCAATTCAACTCATTTTAAGCTTAACTTTAACATATGTACTCTCCACATATATATAAAGTTACCATAAAAATTTAACTTTAAAATAATACTCATATATTAAGATATATTATTTCAAAGTTGAAAATATAACAAAATATTCAACTAACTTGTATGCTTGTTTTTAAAAATCTATATCTCATGCTAAACAAGTCCAATAAAGATAAAATTTAAACTGGAAGTTCTTAACTAATATATGAATTGACCATAAAATTTCCAACTCAAAATAATATCAATAGATAGGGTAATTAAATACTTCAAGTCATCATTACTACACAGATTTTTCACTGGACAGCACCTTAATCAATGATTTTTATAAAATTCATTTTAACTTCAAATAATCTAAAAATTTCTTGTATTATTCTCAGCATAATGATGATCTCATATAAAAAGTTTTATAATTTTTGGAATTTAATAGCTTGATCCAAACAACAAACATAAGCAGCTGCAACATGAACTTTAAATAATCTTACTTTATAATCTTATTTTATATACTTATATATATAAAATTTATAATTTCTAAACATGATAACATATGAAAACCACATATAAACACTTATAACTCTTAGCTATAATTGATGATATCAAAGTTTGAATACATACCTCTTCTATTTATAAGAAAAGAAACTTGCTCCAAGTATTTATTGAAATTGCTCGGTTTCTCTCTTAAAAACTCAATTCTTACTATTTCTTTTTCTTATAACATAAAAATCTGAATTTTTGTGGTGTAATTCTACCATTGATGAATGCTCCTATTTATAGGAAAGTTTTAGGGGACAAATAGCACCAAAAGTGAATTAAATATCATTTAAAATACTAATTTCTTCAATAACTGAGACTTGAGAGGCACAAGGAAAAACTTATTTAACATTTATTCTCTCATATGGTTGCTTGTAGTTTTTATCATAGCTTTAATATATCCCACTATTAGTGTGTAAAAAACTATAAGCAATTTTTGACTTGAATACTATTTTAAAATTTACGTTCAAGAAAAGTAAAATTGGGTGATAAAAATATTTGTCAAAAGAAAAAAAAAATTGATGAAATGGTCAGAACCAGGCTGGCCTGTGACCAAAATATGTGGGTATCAACGTAAATCAGTCGTTCTGTATGTCACGTGGCTTACGCCCCTAACACCTATGTATTCTAATTTGAAATCCACATGATCATGTATACCTGTTATTCCACTACAAAATTTTAGTGAAGTATTCAACTGAATGCAAACAACCTAAACTCCATATAATTCAGTGTATAAGATCAGGGGCGGATCTACATATAAGTTGGGAGAGGCCATTGTTCCCCAACATTTTTTTTTCTATTAAGTATATGTAAAATTATATTTTTACATTAATTCTCAATTTAAATAAATAAGTTAGGCTTTGATAATCAACAGTCTTACCTAAAAATAAAGAATTCAAATAAGAGTATTAGTAGAAAAAACAATTAGATCTTGTATGTCATATCTATAAATACGCTTGTATATAACTTAATACGGAGTAAATTTAATATGTAGAGCATTTAAGATATGAAATTTAATGTGGTGGAAACATATGATATATGCTTATAGAAAATTTGAACATGAGATTATGCTTTTATTTTTCTGTATTTTTATATTGTACATGTTCAAGTTAATTATTAATATGTTCCATATTTTGAGAAAATTAATTAACTTTAATTGCTAATGAAGTTTGGAAGTACATATTTTTTCTATTATATTGAATATGTGACTGTTTTGAAAATTATATTATTTATCGCATCCCCTCAAAAATTTTTTGGATCCACCCCTGTATAAGATTTATAAGAAAATGTGTCACAAACATTAGTAACTTATGGAGTCATACTTGACTCAACTATACCTCTTCTTCTTTAAATTAAATAAAACCAATTATGTACACTACTGCGATTGATCACAAACTCTGGATCGAGCTAGTTACATTGTCATTAATTATTAAATTTAATGCATTTTTTAAGTGGATATGAGGTAAGAATTTTGAATGTATCTCAATTCATTATAAAATATCCTAAATTTATTTGCAATAATACACAATTTTGAAAATATCATGATCAACTCAACTTGGTAAATGGGCATGGCTAGTGTTGCAGTTGAATGGGGAACATTGTCAAGCACTCTAGCATTCAAAAATATTAGGCACTCAAACTAACAAATCATATCACCAAATACAATAATATTATTGTTATGCAAATTTAATCGTTAATTACTCATATTTTTTTAATAAATATTCATACTTTCAAATTGAAATTAATACATTAAAACGTAAAATAAGAAAAACAAAACATTATCATAAAAGTATTACGATTAAATTTGTTCATTAATTTGTGCACACCCTACATATTACACAAAACATGAGATGAGAGCGTGTGGGGTGTGGGGTTATTTATGCCTCTCATTAATTATAGTCTCATGGATTTCAGCGTTATTTTATTTACTCTTTTTTTCTATTTTCCTTTTTGTTTTCTTTCTCTTTCAAACTTTCCTTGTTGCCCCCGCGCCCAAAAGCAAGAATCCGTTGATTAATTTTTGAAATAAAAATCAATACAATTTCACAATTTTGCAATTATTCCTAAGAGAGAGAAAACTCCAACTTTTATACAGCAAGAAAGCAACCCTCATCTTTTAAACCCAGAAAAAAAAAATCCCATGTTTTTCCTTTCGATTTCTTTCTTTTTCGGATAATTATTCTTGAATAGTTTTTTGATTGGAAATTCTACACTCCTTTTTCAAATCTCGAGGCAGGGTTTAAGGCATATTTTAACACAAATTTCTCGGTTACCTGGCTGCACAAGCGTTTAACAAGTTTTTACCAAGGTTTTCTTTGTCGAAACCCCTTGAAAATGGAATCCTAATTAGGAGGGTTTGGAATTTGAGTGTAAGAATCCAAGTTAAAAAATTGGTAAAGAAGATCAACTGTTTGGTTTCTTGTGGCCTAATGCTGTTCTGCTCCGTTTGAGAGCTAAACAGTTGGTGTAAAAGAGGGTCAAAAGACTCGATCATTTTTATCTGGGGTCGTGTTTCTTTTATTTCTTTTGTTATATAAAACTCAGTTATTAAGAAAAGTTCTGGTCTTGAGCATGCAAGAAGGTAAAGAATATCACAAGCTACAGAGAATATGAAGAAGGTAAATAATGAGAGTGATCAAGTGCCGAAACAGAAAGAAAGGCATATTGTTTCATGGTCTCAGGAGGTGAGATTCTTAATTATTTTCCTTTTTAAATAATATTTTTTTAATTGCTGGTTGATTGTGGTCATAATTTATCTGCTAAGAATATGTAAATTTTCTTGTTCCTTTTTGTTGGTGGTTCTTCTATTGTAATTTATCATTTTCTAAAGCTGATGTCAAGTTTTTATTTCAACTGCTAAGAAATATGTGATTGTTTTTCAGGAGGATGATATTCTGCGAGAGCAAATTAGAGTCCATGGAACTGAAAAGTATTTAAAATAGATAATCTTGATGCTTTCAAATTTTCATTTGTCTTTCGTTATTGTAATAACTTGATTATTGGGTGTTTTGCGGAGGTTAATGTTTTGTTCTGCCTTTTTGTTTCAGTTGGACTATTATAGCGTCGAAATTTAAAGATAAAACGACAAGGCAGTGCCGAAGAAGGTTATATGTTTCATTGCCAAATTTCATCTGCTTAAATTCAATTTCTGAAGATATCTGATTTTGGATATATATATTTTTTTATCGGTGTCTGATTTTGAATTTTATTTACTTTTCAGATGGTTCACTTATTTGAATTCTGATTTTAAGAAAGGAGGATGGTCACCTGAGGAGGACATGCTCCTATGTGAGGTGAAAAATTTTAAATGCACCATTTTTATTTCAACACTCTATGAAGCTTGTAAATGGGATTTTTATCAATAAAATTCTCTTTCTATAAGTAGATCCCTTCTTTGTTGTGTTAATGAGTGTTTTTTGTAGAACTTTTTATTGATTGATTATGTCATAAGTGCAGTGATTTTAGTATTTTACTTGTACTTGAATTTTCTTTTATCAACAATACTCTCCGAAAAGTTCTTTTTTTTTTTCCCATAAATTTAATTGATCCCTCATTTGTTATGTAACTATGGCTTTTTTGGGAAACTTTTGATTGGCTGATTATGCAATTTGATTCTTGAGTGGNAAGGAAGCCATAGTTTTGTAAGAAACAATTGTCCTTTTATTTTCTCAGAACTGATAATGCTGTGAAAAATCGATTCACCACATTGTGCAAGAAGAGAGCAAAACACGAAGCTTTAGCTAAAGAAAACAGCCAAAGTTCCTATATCAACTTAAACAACAAAAGGGTCATATTCCCAAATGGAGGAGATGAAAGTACCGTCCCAGTTAAAAAGATGAGGTATATCATCAAGTATCCACTTTTCTTGTTCTGAAAGATATTCCTGGGATAAATGTACTTTTGTAGAATTAACAATTTTACTCATTATTTATTTATTTATTTTTTTATCAGGGCCTATTTTTCTAGCTCAACAGAAAGTCGAGAAGAAAAACTAGGAGGTGAATCGGGCATGGAGAATCATTTGCTGAGGTCCCCATTTGCGGTGATAGCTGAAAATGTTCAAAATTGTGATTTTAACTTAAACACCCATCTGCTCATGAAGCAGATGGAATCAGTAGACAGATGTAAGTTTGAGTGACTTAAAACTGTATTAGCTTTGGCAGTGTGTACCAAAAAAGTCACATTAGAAGGAAATGAACTGAATGAAGATGCTAGAGGGTTGTACTAAAACTGATTGAGGTTTAGCATAACTACAAAAAAAAATTATTGTCCTTTGCATTACAATTTTAACCCCTTAAAATGTCTTAAAACACCCACTTGAGGTTTTTTCTTTTGAGCTTACAAATAATTGATGAATTTGTAAAAGTGAAACAAATGTAAAGGGGGTACTCGTAATTTCTAAAGACAACTAGGTCGGTTTTTTCTAATTCGGCTAAACCTCAGGCATTGTTTTTGCAATTAGCCCACATGCTAGTCATTCAAAGTGGACTTAACTAATATTTTTGTTTTTACTCATGCAGCCAAAAATAATGAAATTCAAGGAACATTTCTTAAGAAGGATGATCCAAAGGTGCTTGCACTGATGCAACAAGCAGAATTACTTAGTTCACTGGCGATCAAAGTTAACTTGGATAAGACAGACCAAAGTCTCGAAAGTGCCTGGAAGGTAAGTAATAAGAGATTGAAGATTCAAAAAAGTTGTCAACTTTTAATCCAAATTCTGGAGAACATATTTTGCTTACTTTAAGAAAGTACGGCTATGACAAATTTAAGGTTCTATGTCCCCTTTTCAGCCTTACTTGAAAAAATTTTCACAATGTTAACATTTTTCTGCTATGACAAACATATATTCTGAGTTTGCTGATGCCATCAACAATTTTCACAATGGTTACATTTTTCTATTATTGAGACTCGTTAAGTTTGACGATAAATGTGGTCCAGGCCCTTCAAGATTTTCTGAGACAAAATAAAGAAAGTGAGCTGGTCGAATTTGGAAATCTGGACACTGATATTCAACTCGAGAAGTTGAAAGAGTTGGTGGATGATTTGAGGAGCAGTACTGAAGGCAGTAGACCTTCTTGGAGGTAATATATATCTGTAGAAAAAAAATAAAAAAAAGATCATTATATCTAACTGAGAATTTTGCAGGGAAGACGGTGTATATGAATCATCACCAGCCAGTTCGGAGTACAGTACTGGCTCGACTATGCTGCCAAATTTGCCAGGTGATAAAATGGAAGACTGTCAAGCTGAAATATGTGTGCTAAATCAAGACACTGGACATGAATTTCAGTCAAATCATATACACGATCAGAATTGTCTTGCTGAGGAAACTGGAATTTGCTCTACTGCAAGCACAAATGCAGGTAGAATATAAAGAAAATTACAAAATACAGCTATCAAGCACAAAAGCAGGTTCCTAAAATTAAAACATATATATCATTTGTCCATTGTTATTTTTGAGACATAAATGAACTTTTATATATCATAATTAGTTTAAATGCCATGTGTAGTATTTGTAATTAGTTTAATAACTCGCTCTTGTTTCAAGCTAATAACTTCTCTTCTTTGGTTGCAGTGAACATATTATGTGATGGCATCGAAACTAAAAATGATGAAGTACGTGAATATTCTGACACCGAATTCAGATCCCCCGTTCACGTGACCCCTTTGTTTAGAGCAGTGGCAGCAGCAATTCCCAGCCCAAAATTTTCTGAAAGCGTAAGCAAAACATCTAAGCTTTATATATAATTCTAAGCAGTTTTAACTTCATACACAGCATTCTCAGTGGTGCATGTCAACGTAAGGAATAGTTTCATTGTTGCTTTAGTTCATTAAATTATCTCAAGAATGTGTCTTCTAGAAATAAGCAAGCAAATCAAATTTAGCAGTGGCATGAGTTATATCTCTACATTGTTGCACCACTATATGGAGAGACATAACCGCAGGTAAGCTATAAGGATTGATTTTTTACAACTTCCAGCAATGAGTGTTGCTGCTTGATTTGGTGGAGTAAAGAAACGCGACCAAAGCTCTAACTGAACAAAACAAAAAAGAAAATGTGAATCTCAGCTTCTAATTGGAAGATAAAATGAATTTCTTTTCCATTTAGAAGCTGCCAATCACTTTCTGCGATTGGAAATGAGGTTCTTTTTTGAAAAATTTTGTGTCGCCTGACAAAAGAGACGGGGAAGTGGAAAATGTCGTTTTAAGTAAAGTGAGATAGATTTGAGATTGTGAATGGATGTGAGATAAAAATTGTAATAAATACAAATGATGTGATATAAGATAATAAAATATTGATTGATAAAGTAATTAGTAGTTGGAAATATGAGAGTGTGTGAATAGTGAATAGTCTTTTTTGTTGGAACATATAAAATAATGGTTGATTTTTATTTTTTATTGTGCTAGTGTGATTGTAGAGAAAAGGGTGAAATGAGATGAAACTGAAAATTTTGTTTCAATTCAAAACTCAATGACATAAATCTTGACTGGTCAGTTAAAATTGAGGTCTTTCCATATCCAATCGCCCTAGTAGAGTTTGCAGACACTCTTAATTTCTACAAAAGTCTGACTTGATGAATATGCACAAAGTGGACGGAGAACTTGTACTAATGAATAACTCTTAAAAATTTCCAAGTGTGTCATTGGGTATCTATTTTCAAACTTTAGCATATAGCTTAATGAAGTGGTTCCCCAAGAGCAGTCTAATTGTTCTTATTTTTCCCAATCTTCAACATATAGCTTCTTCAAAGTTGTGATGATTCTGATGTTTCGTCAAACTATATTTATCTGCTCGTAAGGGACAAAAATTAGGATTTGCATAACACCTAACTTAGGACAAGGAAAGCTTATTTTTCCTTAAAAATCATTTTCTCATGTATTATCTTGTGCATCGAACCTCAGGGTCATAATAAACTTTTTCCCCTCTTACTGGCACCTTTTTCCATCCATTTTGCAGGAAAAGCACTTTCTGATGAAGACACTGGGAATGGACTTAAGTTCCCCAAGTCCAGTCGCCAATCCTTCTCAACATCGAGCCTGCAAAAGGTCCCTTCTTCATTGCCTATGACAAAAATCTCATGCAGAGTTCAAAAATCATCACAATGATAGATGTGGGAGTTTCTTTTGAAGTGTAGAGT